TAAAATCTCTGAAATCATTTTTATTGAAGGTCAATATTGTAGGAACACTAAAAACAGTATTTGTGTGTTTTCCGAATGGAGCGATGACATATAATATGCACCGAGTCAGGTAGTCTATAAAACGAAATTGATCTTAACTTCACTGTTGACCTTAAAGTTGCAATAATTTTCCTTTACCTATTTGATGAAATGATACTGAAAATATGGTTTATTATTGAAATACATGTTTTAAGTTTATATGTTCTCCTTGCTTGATTGATCCATCTCTTTGACTCTTTAGATTGATTAACAGAGTTCTGAGGGGATCATGTAAACTTCATTTATCAAGAATAAATCATATTCTCACAATCACTTCATGACAACAAATAAGAATAAATTATTTAACTTTATGGCCGGGTATTAGTGTAGCAAAGTTTAATTATTTATGCATATACCATACAAATTCATTTGTAATTAATTTATTTCAAATTCCCTTTAGCTCTTCGTGGGTTGATAATTATTATAGCAGTTTAGACTCCTCAATCTTTGTAAAATTAAGTCATATTGCATCTAAGAATCTTCTAGTATATTGGACATGTAATAGAATGTATTGAAAGCTCCATGGACTTCGTCTAGAACCATTGAGCAAGAACCCTGATCGTTACCGAGATTTTTTCCTCAATTGATTCTGCAAGATCGCGAAGAACACAAAGAAATTTGTCGATACAAAAGTGATGAGGTAGCTAACTCGAGTCTTCAGTCATGATGATCAATGCAATATTCTGGGAGTAGAAGTCAGCGAACGTATATAGACTTTATTAATTTCATTATAAATCAAACTCGAAATACAAACTGAATATATGCAGTTATGCTCAATATTAATCATACCCTTTCTATCAGCAAGTTCCTTCATGTTAGTTGATTTGGGGTCGCATTGAATTCATGAAATTGTTGAAGGTCTCTTCTTTCAGGTTAATAGCTGTTTACACGATAATCCTATTCTTAAAGGGGAAGTCCTCCCAAATATGAAGTTGGTTTTAATAAAAGCAGAAATATTAGAGGAACGCTAGGTTAGAGAAAGTTTTTTTTTAATCCGATCAAAAATGAGATTTTTGAAGTTGCGATCAATCAAACCCAAATTTGCAACACTGTGACGTATCACGCGAGCTCTTAATTCTCCAATTTACTTTAATAGACATTCATTTTCTCAGTTATTGATGACGGAACAGATATTTTCCTTTACATGGGTCGAATTGAAACATATTCGCAAGATACGTCACGGAGCTACCAATTGGTATTTGATAGATCGCAACTCTAAAAATTCATAAATTTTATTCGGAATTTGCTCAAAATTTCACTGACCTGTTCCGCCCATTTTCAGCTTCTAGCTTTAATTAAAACCAATTTAATAACAGCAGTGACTTCTCCTTTGATTTCGCAATAAAAATTGAGTTGACTTACGTTTATTGTATCCTATAGACAGAAACAACGAATAAAATCGCAGATTGACATTATAGTCTCATATGATTAATAAAGTAAACATATTGATCAAGATGTATATAACAAATGAACAAAGACCATGTTTAATTTCTCATTCAGTTGTTTAATATTAATTTGCATTTTAATAGACACAACTTGTAAAACTATAAATAAAGTGAACACGTTGATCAAATTATACATACATATTGAAATTCAATTTAATTTGAAAATCATAACTTCCTTAGAGACCTTTAAATCCAAGCTGAATTTTTAATTTTTTTTTTAACAATACCTGTACTTGGCACTATGACACTCATCCGAACTTTCTCGTCCAAACTTTCTTACTCTTTCTATTTTTCTTGTGCGCCTCAGAATAGCATTGTCTAGATAGACGGCGCTATACAAATGCCTATTATTACTATTGTTGTTTAAAAAGATCATATTTATATACATATATATTTTTGTATATATATAATATAGAACAAACATTTAAACTTGGTTTATCCTCCGTCACGGCAATATACAAATAATAATTACAACAATTTAAAACTAGAAATACAATGGTGTCACAACGATATACGTGCAATGACGGCCGTTTTTCTATGTGTCAAACGAAAGAGCTTATCTCGGACTTTCCAGAGCAATTTGTAAGAAGTCTGTAGCTTCTGTGATATTGGAGATAGAAAGACCTATACAAACGGCCCGCGCATATTTTTTTTACACAACTGTTTAGCCATTTTCGCGAAAAAATTCCAAGAAGTGCTCTGGTGAAAGAGTCTAAGTCGTCAGCGCACTTATGTGCAGGCACGTACACCCATGGAAGGGAAGATGATAGAAAAGGGGGAAAACAAGGATAGTGGAGAGGATAGGGAGAAGGAAACACAAGGAAATACATAAGGAAAGAGAAAAGGATAAGTCAAAGGAAGAACATGGAAATACATAATTGAAGAGCTAAGAGGATCATAGATCTAGACTAAGGAAAAACAGGGAAATACATAAAGAAGCTAGAGAAAGGGAATCTATCAGATTAAAACAAAGAAATAGATGACGAATTAGGAGAAAAGGATAGATTGAAGGAGAAACAAAGAAATACATAAAACAAAAGAGAAGAGTTAAGAATGAAGGAGAATAAAAGAAATACCGAAGGAAAACGTACTGGGGATAGATTGAAGGAACAACAAAGAAATATATAACGAAGGAGAAAAAGGATAGATTGAAGGAAAAAAAAGAAATACATGACAAAAGAGAAGAGGATAGATTGAAGGAGAACACAGAAATACATAATGAAAGAGAAGAGAGGATAGATTTAACCCAAAACAAATAACGAGTAGGCCTATGTACACATGTACAGCTCCAGCAATCCAACAAAACTGCTAAGGATAATGCTAGACTCTGTCTCTAGTCGTTTGCAAAGTATATTTGACTGAAGTGGCTAAAGAGTTGTGTAAAAAAAATATGCGCAAACGGCCCGAAACGGACAAAATGGCGCATGGACGGTGACGCATGAGTGATTCCGGAGAACGAGGATTTCAATGACCTTGATGGGATATGTGCTAGAGATTTTGCCTAAGAAGTTTGAAAGGAATTGGGATAGAGGAAAGGACCTATAGCAAGGATCGCAAACACTGCGTGAAAAACGGATTGTGGTAAATGAAGAACACGTGATGACCGTGACGCATGCTCTGGCACTAACAGCCGTCCATACTAACACAATTATGCAGAGTTTAAAATGGCCCCCGTTTCACTGACATAGATATTTAGATCGCAAGTTGCAATTATTTCGAAATTTTCTTGAAAACTGCATATTTGGAGGTCACTTTTCGTAAGGACGGTCAGAGTCAGGGAACATATTTTTGTATTTGGCTGGAAAGGGCCTAGCTTTAAGTAGCTAAATTCAAAAAAGGGTACGGGTTTGGTCAGACACGATGAAGCTATTCGGCCAGAGAAAGTAAGCAAAGAAACGGACAAAATGGCACCAAAATATTAATAGGAATAGGGAAGAATGTGAATGAAAACAAAGCATCGACGAGATCGTCATTGCAATAAAAATCCTTCAGATTTCTCTTCTCTACTATGACCGGTTTCAATTTTATTTCTTAAGACAGTGAATTCAAAATTACAATTTACAAAACAAATGCAACAAAATTGATACCGTCAAACAATACGTACGAGCGCATTGCGCCAAAATGGCGCGTTGCTTGGTAACAAAATTATCATTGTTATATATTTCTACACCATAGATAGCAAATTAAAACTTACCAACAAGTTCAACAAACTATCGTTATACATACGATACGTAAAGGCGCATTGCGCTAAAATGGCGCGTTGCTTGGCAATGGAATTATCATATTTAAGTAATATGGACTGCCTTCAGGGCAATACGACATATATCGCCCGAACCGAAGGTGAGAGTGATATATGACAAGGGATCAATATTACCATGTGGACTATTGACATCAAACGTTACTAAAAAAAAACTATTATCGTCAATATTTTGAGATAGATGATTCAAGAAATATACACTATGTCGGATATAGCTCTTTACAAGAGTCAATTATGGTTTCAGTACAAATCAATCAGAATGCTTACATGGTGAGTAGGACATACATGTATTGCGTCAAAACATAAATAATCATACAATTATGAATAAGCTACAGTAAAATTATCCAGCAAACCATATTAAGAGATAACGCACAGAAATTGAATTTTCTTAATAAATTAGTTATACACCTACATATAAATTAATAAAGTATGCTAAACGGGTAACAATTGCTAGTCTTTTTCAAAATCATATAGATATGAATAGATCGTTCGAAATGAGAGAGAAGGCAAAACAAAAGGGCTGGAGGAAAGTAAATAAAAGAGAGGTAGGAAAATGCAAAGAGCATAGGAGATCCATGAAAAGTATGAGAGAGAAAGACAGAGGAAGAGAAAGGGAGAGAGGGGAGGGAAAGAGAGATAGAGAGAGAGAGAGAAGACAAGGCTGATGATGAGAGTGCATAACTGACAGGTAAAAAGTACATTGACATTTGAAAGAATACTGGTTGAAGATCCAAAATTTACAAGCAAATATGAAAGACCTTTTGTGTTTTAAAACGTCTTCTTTGATACATTTAATTTGATGTATATTTTAGGAAAACCATAACAATAGTTGTTCATATATTCAAAATCCGTAATACATGATTTTCCTTTTTTGTTAAAATATTTTTTATCAAGGCTTTTTTTTTTCTTTTTTTTAAACTTTTTTATTCTCATTTTTGTGTAGTTCACTGTATGTTTCTCTTTTGTTCAAAATGATCATTCATGTATTACGTTCAAAAGAATCGCCTTTGTCTGCTTTATTTGATGACTTATTTGATGGCGGACGATTCATTATTAGGCAACTTATTTCTATGGTGGTACGGGAAGGGTTTTGGGAGGGACGGGGCAGAAGGACTGGAAAATGATGTGTTATTAAGCAGGAGAGATAAGCGGATAAGGGGGAGCGGGCTTGTGCGATTTGAAAAAGTTCATTTTCATTTTTTCATCGAAGCAACTTCTTTTTTCCGTGTTGATCTACTCCAAATAAACAGCCCCCATCTAGAACAGCTTTTGTAGGCGATATGCAGGTAAGCCGCAAGCCACCCTCACCAGGCGATGTATCATTTTAATCAACAGTACTGTTTAGGATTGCAGATCATTCCCGCCACGGTTCCGCGAAAGAGAGGTTGTGCAACGGCGTAACTCACCGGGTTTAGGAAACTGTTGGTGAAGCGAATCGTGGAGATGAAGGCGAGCATTACATCGGGGAGCTTTCTTTCCAAAAGGATGGACTGATCAGAGCTGGTGACGATGACGAAGATGACGTGGGGCATCCAAGACACCAGGAATGAAATGATGATGAACGAAAGGCTGCGTGTTGCCTTGCGAGCTGAAGCATCGGAATCACGATATTCACGATTTCGCTTTGACTAAAAAATAGAAATAAAATAAAATATAAAACCATATGGAACATAATAAGAAGGAAGGATCGTTGAGTTATGTTAAAGGAATATTGTGTCATTGGCTTTCACGGTTTTGTCCTGCATTTTTCTCAGAATCACAAATCTATCAAATTAAAATAGGAAGAAATAACATGCTCTTGCTTTTTATTTCCTACTAAAAATCTAAAACGTCTCAAACAATTTTGCTTTATATCTTCAGTTGAATGTTTCTCCTTGTTTTTGTTTTGTTTTTTTTTCTGGGGAATGGGGGGGGGGGGGCACTTTTTTACCGGTAGGTAGATGCACTTCATGTTCTTCAAGCGAGTGTGTCACTAAACCAAATTCGAACCAATTTCCCACAGGTTTGTCATTTTACAAAAAGTGAAACAGACTTCAATTATATATTTTAATTTATCGACATAATATTGAAATATCGTGGATTATGCGATGCAATTAGACAAGGGTTTAACAATTTATTGTACTATTTTTAACAAGGTGCCACAACCTCTTTTCCCAGATACAATGGCATTTGTTATGAAACGTATTAAAGGATGTTCACATGTCTAAGCAATTTTATTAAAGAGAAGAAAAGGACTATGCAAAAGTTTTCTTAAATGGAAATGCATTTTCGACCTGAATGATAAGAGTTGGGAAACATATTGTTCTATTGGATTTAATTGTGCCAATAAAGTCTAAAAGATGAAAAATAAAGTTCGATGTTTTTGTGAACATGTTTCCAAAAAGTAATGTCATACCTTTTTGTTCTGACCTGTCTGCTGAACATCCGTGCTTTTCATCGCAATCTTGGAGTCATCTTGGGATTGATGATGCGGCGCCAAATTAGACCCACCATTCGAGGAAGTCCCAGTATTTGGCTCTTCCTCACAACCACTGGACTTCATATTAAACTTGTCTTTAAGATGTTGCGCTCCTAGGGAGTTTCGTATCTTGTATAGGATTCTGGCGTACAAGACGGTGATGATGAAAAGGGGTAGAATAGTCATCATCACCGGAAGTGACAGCAGGAGGATCCTGATGAGGCGGTCACCATCAGTCGGAGTGCTGGCATCGAACCCGAAGAATGCAAAAGGGAGCCAGAAAATGAAAGCCACTACCCAAGGGATAGCATTAAGGAGATACGCTTTGGTTTTGCTCCTGCTTGTGAAATGTTTGATAGGTTGATAGGTGGCTTGGTATCGATCAACGCAGATGACGACGATGGTGATCACGGAAACACTTAGGACACCGTCGTTGATGCCGAGAAATATCTTACACCAGAATACCCCTGGGTGACAGTTACTTACGAAAAGGACAATGAGCGAGAAACCAACCGTCAAGTCGGTTAGGATGAGATTGATAATGAAAGAATTGTTATATGTCCGAAGTCGTTTCTCTATGACATATGCGACGAGCATAACCATGTTAGATGTGATGATAAGAGAGGCGTAGACAATGAACAAAATGGCACTGGTAACACTTTGTAATGGCGCTTCAAGCATGTCAGGAACATTGAAGGGAGGTGGGCCATCGGGTTTGCCTGTCCCTGGCAAACCCTCGTCCAAAGCAATGTTAATCGGAAAAGTAATGCTCGACATTGCAATGGCGTAAAGAACGATTGAAATATTAAGGGATCTTTTCCTAGAGTGAAAAGGGAAAGATGTAAAATTGTAAAATCCGTAGTCTTCTAAATCGTATGCAAGCCCTTTGCGCGGGAAAAAAGGGTGACTTTTCTTTTAAATTTGCAATGGTATGATCAACTTCTTATAGCTTCTGCGATCAGTTGATCTTTGAAAAGTAATCCTCTAGAATAAATTTGTCATTAGGGGCCTACGCCACGCTGTACCCTCCAAACAAACAAACGGAATCCGACTTGAAATGTGTAGATCTTATGCGTCTGATATAATTTTACTGATTTTTGTATGTTTGCACACAGTATTTTCGGTCACGTAACCAATATAAAGCGATGATTCTTCCAACGTATAAAGGAAAACCAGCGGTCATTAATTCGATTGCGTTTCTTTAAAAATAAACAAATATCTGCCTCAGTCCTTTGAAGTATGACATGTAAGTCAGAAACGAAATTGTGGTCCATCTAGCGTTGCTGCCCAGCTCTGTGGAGATTCGAGTTTGTCTTCTTTTTATGTAGTTCGTACAATTTTCGAGTATTCAAGGAGAGCATTGATTTTTAGAAAGAGATAAAAAAAAAATATGATGTAAGCAAATTTTTTTTTTATCCGAGCTCGAACAAAGTCAAACAAAGCTGACAAGTCCCCGCGAGCAGTAGGAACCAACATAATTTTGAAAACTATATTTTCAGGAGAATAGTTTAGACATTTAACAGTTACAAAATTAATCAGTTGTTATCCCCAGGCACCGCCCACCGCCAAACTAATTAGCTTTGAACAATTGTTTTGCTTTCAATGATTTGTTGACCCCGCTGATTATTCTTATTTTGTAGTTTTTCATTTCCTTAGTAAAATATGTAACCGTAGGCCTATTTTTTTTTACCTTAACTTTTTTCATTTTTGTCATATTCGAACTTCTTGCCCCTCTCCCCCCCCCCTTTCTCTCTATCCCTCTCTCTCTCTCTCTCTCCCTTTCTCTCTCTCTCTCCCTCTCTCTCTCTCTCTCTCTCTCGCTCTGTTATCTGTAATATTCATTCTCTATACAGTTTTTCACTCATTCAATCGTGGTCAAAACATCATCTCCCTGTGGATGTCCCCGCCTACTGCTACATGTGCCCGAGGAGTGAAAGTAATGAGCCATACAGCAATAGTGTTGGTTATTGAATATCCGAGAGATAAAGCATGAAATAAAGCTTCCTAAGATATAAATGAATTTCACAAATATCAATTCACCTTTTTTTCTTGATTTTATTTGAATAATAAAGTATTTTAATTTATTTGTAAAATTAGATGTATGACCTAATACCCTCCCGTCTCCTCGGACACAAGTAGCAGTAGGCGGGGACATCTACAGGAAGATGATGTTTTGACCACGTCAAGCACATGTTTTTTTCATAATCCAAAGAAAATCAATGATAAGGCTTTGAATTGATCTTTGTGAAAATAGTTTGTATCTGAGTAAGCTTCATAACATCCGTTTTCACTCGAATATTCGATGTACAACACTAGTTATATACCTCACTTAAGTAATCCAGCCATCTGATTGGTCGAAATTGCATTCATAAACTTCAACTGTTCCTGTAAAATTCCCGGTAACCATGCTTAAAACATTTAATATTTTTAATAACCATGGTTATTAAAAAAATAGGTCAGTCTCCATGGTTACCCCATAGGTTTACATGTTAAAAAATGGTTTGAGCGATGGAGGATACCGTATGTGTGCGAATAATTGGTCGGTAATTTCAATACAATTGAATCTCGATCGATCTTACCGACAATTTTATCTTGCATTGTTGACATGAAGACGAAAATAAACTTCCAAAAACAAAAAAACATCTGCCGATAGATCTTGATCTAAGTTCGTGCCAATATGCATTGCAAAAGTAAAAGAAGAGTCCGTATATGGAGCTTTTGCGAAGCATTCATCACACGCAAAGCCGGTTTCAATCCATTTTAATGTATATATAGTACAAAACTGCCAAGCATGTTAATAACGCGCGATGGCCGAGAGGTCTGAGGCGCTGACTTTAGATACATCACCTTTTGTACGCAAGAGTTCGAATCTCATCTTGGACCAAAAAAAAAAGTATTTTTTATTTTTTAGTCTATTTTTTTTCGGCATATAAAAGTATTAATGACTGCTTTAATATTCGAGAAATAGTTGTTTTTATACGCTCTCGGGAAGGTTACAATTGGGCTATTCCCCTCGGCACGCCTCGGGTAATAGCACAATTCTAACCTTCCCTTGAGCGTATAAAAACAACTATTTCTCTCAAAGCAGACATTAATACTATATTTTATTGTATGGCTTATTACCCCTCCCCTCTCCTAAGGCAGATGTAAAGACGTAGGCGGGCACATCTACAGGTACAAACTGTAGGTGATGTTTTCACCACGTAAAACACGTATACTCAAAAGAAAATCAATGCAACCGGGCATGGTGGCTCAGTGGTTAAGAGTGCCCGCCTCATAAACGGGAGGTCGTGGGTTCGAACCCCGGCCGAGTCATACCAAAGACTTATAACAATGGGATCTTCTGCCTTCTAGCTATAGGCGCTCAGCATATTAGATTGGAGAAGGGTAGTAATAACAAATTAATATGTAATTATGCAGTGCCCGCTGGAAGAGCAGTTTCATAACTGAAGGGGCTACCGTGGGTAAATAAAACGTTATTATTATTAGTAGTAGTAGTAGTAGTAGTAGTAGTAGTAGTAGTAGTAGTATAAACGAAGCTGAATTGATATTTGTGAAATTCATTTGTATCTTAGGAAGCTTTATTCTGTCCTTTACATCTCGGATATTCAATAAACAACACGTACTAGCTATATGGCTTATTACCGTCCCCTTTCCCCCGGCATATGTAGTCTTCTAGCACTACATAATTCACTTCAATTGAGCAAGAACGTACCCTGATCGAAGATCGCGAAGAGGATGTATAGAACGCGAAGAAAGTTGTCGAAGCTTTGATACAAAAGTGATGAAGCAGCTAACTGCAGTCTTCAGTCATGATTATCAATGCAATATTCTGGGAGTAGGAGTCCGCGAAAATATAGACTTTATTAACAAAGTTAATTCAACTCATATAAAATATAAACCAGTGGCGGATCTGGGGGAAAAGGCGTGATAAAACACGTTAATTTGACCCCTCCCCTGGTGCTCAAGGGGGATGCGATTTTTCATGCGTTAGTCCTTATTTTAATTAATTGATTAATATTAATCCATAAGTTAGTTTCTGAGGTTATCCTGCACCCCCTCCCCCTCTCTCTCTCTCTCTCTCTCTCTCTCGTACATGATTGTCTCCGACATAAATAAGCATAGTAACAAGAGATCATCACGTGAACTAGTGATTGTTTCGTCATAGATTCGAGCGCATGCGCAATGTGAAAAACAAGCGCATTAAGCGCGTATGTTGAATAACCTTAGCAATTTTTGTTTACATATTCCTCACAATATCTATATTGTTCTCGTAGTGTTTATTCACTATACTTTTCTCTGCCTTTTCAGCCAATTTTTGCCTAATTTTGGTCGATTGTGCGTCTCATTTCTTGTTATTGTCAACATCTAGGCAATTTGAAGCCTTAGATCTGTTGCCAGATTGAGAATTTGAGAATTACCAGCGTTATGAGTTCTCGAACTACGGTATGAGTATGACCAGTAACAGTATGACCGTAGACACAAAGTTAACGTGTATCAAGCGATACATGTCGGGCAATGCCGTTATTCATCCGACAAACCCCGACTTATGTTTCTCAAAATGTGATTTATGTTACTACTTTTACTGGACTTCAGAAAGGAAAAATTCGTTATGCGAGTCTGACTTTTAGACGTAGCCCACGATAAATTATTAAATATTGGGTATCGGCAGATAACCGAATTTAACCCATTTTCATCTAGATCATCTTTGCCTATATTCAAACATTTTCAGGGAGAAACAAAGTTAGGATTTCTGAAACGCAGTGTAACATAAGTGATAAAATGTGTGTTTGTTTTATTTTCAGGCACAATTACAATATTCTAGTAGTTGTTTTAACTGGGCCTTAGTCAAGTTCTTGTAACTGTTTCCCAATTTAAGTTTAAATAAAGCGAAATAAATATGAACAAACCTTGTTCTCTTCCTTTCCACTTTACTTCTGTTCCTCCTATTTTAGATCCGTTCTTCTTATATTCTCTTATTTGTTTCTTGATTTTCATGTTGTATCTTCTTAGTACATGCAGTCTTTTCTTTCTTGGATTTCTTCTTCCTTTAACTTCCACCTTTTCTCATCCTATTCACTTTTAGTTTCCTTCCATGGGGCTCTACATTTTGTTTTTGTTTTCACTTTTATATTTTTCCCTCCCTCTCCATTTTTAATTTTTAGAATTGCATTGCATAATCACAAATGAATGAATAACTTCGGAAGTTGACGCATAAAACATTTACTTAATAAAATGTGTTTGAGCATAATAATGGTTGAAGAGAGGGGGTGCTAATGAGTAAGATGAAAATATTTAGAGAGGATGGACTCATGAGAAATGAAGAGAAAAAGATTGAGGTGTTAATTTTATCAGTTCACCCTCTTTTTTTCTTGTTTCTTTTTAAAATTTCATTTAACTTCTCTTTCTTTTCTGTTCTCATTCTTCTTATTCTCTCCTTTCCTTTTATATTTAACGTTTACTTCTCAAGTTTCTCTAACTTTCCCTTTTCTCTCTTTCTCTCTCTCTCTTTTCATATTTTGCTTCATTTCGTTCACTCTTATAATCCCTTTTTTCTCTTTATCTCATATAATTCTCCTTTTATTTCTTCTTATTTTCCTTCTTTCCCTCTCTTTTACTCATGTTTCCTTTTTTTTAAATTAAATTTAATTTCAGTCTTTTATGGCGTGACGAACGCCTTCGTTTTTCACTATATCTCTCTTTTTACATGCTTTTATTACTATTTTCATGACTATTTTAATCAAACTCATGCAGAATTTAATCTATTTCATTCTTTTCATCTTTCCCTGCTTTTTTACGTATTCACCATGCAGGGTCATCTGAGAGTAGACGTCGAGCTTCAGGGTCATCTTCTTCTCCTCGCTAAGAGCGTGAAAGACGAGATGTCCAATCTCGACTTTGTCGAGAAGCGGAGACTTCCAAACCGCGAAAAGGTTTACATCTACATCCCTTGTCGCTATCGTCATCGGACGGATAGACACTCTCTTCACTTCTACGGCTACTTTGAGTACCATCATAGCAAGCGTCAGCTCATCATCCCGATGTCGAAGCTCCTCAACCAAATCGCGGTTGAAGAGCTTCATCGACTCAAGTCGGAGTCCAAACCGTCGACACCGTCGGCTACTTCACCGCGGTGTCGACGTCGAATTCCACTCAACGATGTCCTTGGATTGGAAGTTAAACTCAAAGAAGAACATATCTTTGAGTTTCCCCAACACAAGGACGTCGTTGAGTGCAGGCCTGCTCTTTCCATCAATGTCCCTCTTGTTCCATCTTCCACCTCGAACTCGAGGCCGAGAAAGCGTAAGATGGACGATGATTCCTCATCA